CAACACTCGGTAGAACACTTAAAACGATTTATTCTGAACACTACTATACAATAATAACAATACTCGTACTAAACACTCCCGATTCACAACACTTCTTCGATCGTTATTATAACGCTTCCAAATAAAGACTTTTCTTCCTGTCCCTAACAACAACTATTTATACTACCTAATAAATAAAACGTCTAGATTCCACTCGAAATATCGTGAACAGGTCGATAATCTTCTCGAGTCATCTCAATAGCCGTCGATTTCTATTCCAAGAAATACGGTTTATTTACTTGCCTAGCAGGTAGCTGGGATTGATCGCCAGGGTCGTAACAATATTGAGTGTGAAGTAGTAGAGGTAACAAAAGAAGAAGCAGCATTGGCTGAATAAATAACTAAATAAACCTGAAATGTCTCCTGAATTCATCATTACGTTTTCTATACATCTTTCAATTCTCAATCTGGTGCATCATGAGAAATCAATGGCAACAAAATGTTCAAGTATTCTTTATCACTCGAGCCTGAATATAGTCATCGTCAATAATCGTAGAAACTATGGAGGCTACAAGAATCGATTGCTCTTCCATGTTAAATATTAAATATTAAATATCTAGTCCAGATAAACGAGGAACTACAGACTGTCGAATTCCACCAGCTGATCAACTGCTGCTGACTACTGATGAAAACCATGAAAACGTGTCCCGAATTACAGCACTGTATTTCCGATTTTATATTTCGGAACAGATATTCAGCAGATTCAGTGGATCTACTGACAGTACTGGTTGAATTCGGAATATAGCCACTGGCTATATTCCAAATTCAACCTGAACTACTGTACTCATGTCATATGTGTGCTTAATATATTTTCGAAAATCCAATTCGGAGAAGAATTTATGGAGTGACTAATATCACAATATGTATAAAACTTCGTCTAGGACGAAAAGTAGGCTTTTGAAAAGTAGTACGTAAAATGTGCAGGAAAATGAAGAATTGAATATACCTTACCCCCATGTTATACATTTTCCGTCTCCCTTAAATAAAAAGTCATTTTCGAACAATTGATTGATGAAAGTAACAAAGAATAAGTAGGTATACCCAGAATAACTTATAGTCACGTCATTTTCACTCTTGCCTTCTACATATTTTCTATTTGTGGTAGAGTAATAATTATATAAACTAATGTGATTCGTCATATTGGATCCGTCATTTTGAATTTTCCAATTTTGAGGAAACACCGAAAACCCCCAAATACAAATTTTGAATAGAATCGAATCTTTATTACAAAACTCGTCCACCATAATGGATTCGCCATCTTGAATATCCCAGTTTTGACGAATTAATTATAATCTCCGACTCCGGGAATTCCCAGATATCAATTTCGGCTTTTGAATTGAATATCGGATCATAATTACAAAATTCGTTCGCCATATTGGATCCGCTATATTGGATCCGCTATCTTGAATTTCCTTATTTAAACAAAAAATAATAAAGTTCGACCCCGAAAACCCTCAGATACCAATCTTAAAATAGAATCAGATCATAATTAGAAATTTCTTTCGCTATTCAGGCTGATTCACGATGGCAGCGCTGAGAATATTTCAGGTCGATAGAACACAGCTAATTATTCAAGGCACCAACCATTGTCGTTCTAGATGACAACCTAGTTAGGTAGTTAGTAGGCAGGAGGTCGCTTACTAGGTTTTCATTTGGATCGACAATGCACCCACTTTTTAGAATAATCCTGAGTTACGTTCTCCAGAAACGTCTAATGTGCCATCCACGGTGAATCAGCCTCTGTATATTGGATCCGTCATCTTGAATTTTCCAAGTTTGACGAAACAATCATTATCTCCAGCCCCGCAAAACCCCAAATACCTTCCAATTTTGAATAGAATCGGATCCTATTTACAAAACTCGTTCGCTATATGATCTTCCTCAACAAGTATAAATACCCTTTACATAGGGTGCGTTTTTCATTCCAACATTTTATCATGCGCATGAATCGAAGAAACCATCAAACTGTTGCAAAATTCCGCTGGAATGTTGATGGACACCCATCAAACTGTTGTAATAAAATGCGCACTTTTAAATCGCATTTCGAGAATCCAGCAGTTTGGAGGAGATTGACATGACAGTTGACACATTTTAGTGTTGTTTTTTGTTTTGATTTGATAGAAAACAATTAATATTGAGGATTTTTGAGATTCTTGAGAGATTTTAGAAGAAAGAGTCAGTGTTAATCAATTAAGTCGAATTAGCCTTTTCTGATTCTCAAGATACATGATGACTGACACACAACAAAATCCGTGTTTCCATCAATGTGTTGTATAAACCATTGTTCAATCCTTCCAGCATAAATTCCAACAGAACAATTGGTGACGTCACGACAAAAAACCGCATCTATCAGTGCGCACTTTCTTCGATGGAATGAAAAACACGCCCTATATACCTATTATTGAAATTTCGAATGATTTTCTGTAGCTTGTATTGCAGAAGTGGCAGAAGGCAGAAGGAATTTTAATAAGGAATGACAACATTTCATAATGATAACTATGTGAGATTACTATTTACCTGAAAAATCATATTCTCTAGTCTCTTGCTGCATTTTTTGTGCATTGTACAGCACAATGCGAAACACGATTCATATGCCAAAATATTGTGAAAAACTATTTCAACCTTTTGATTCCTCTGTAAACAAATAAAAAAGTGAGGTTGTGTTCCAATAATTCACAGAAGAGTGAGATTGTGTTTCAATATTTTGCCTCCAGGGTCGGTCATCGTGCACGCGACCCAAGGATTATAAACTCTACTCTCCTTGCACGCGACCTATAAAATGTTATCTGTGATTATGTGCCGGTGTGTGTCTGTGCACAATCTGTGCACTTGGTATGTGTCCTGTGTCAGTCTTGCCATTTATACAGGGTGTTTAAAAAAAACTAACCCCCTTGCTAGGGTAGGTAGAACAATGCAAAATAAGTTGGGTTTGCTCAGTAAAAAAATGTCGTAACGCCATCCGTTTTCAAGATACAAGGTGTTGAAACAATATTTTTTTACACATTTTTTACGATTATGTTGAAACTACTGGCAACATTGTGATGAAATTTTGTGTGAATGTTTCTTGGCATCTGACACATCGCATGCATTTGTTTTTATATCTGACTGTCATAGAGGGCACTAGTTACACGGTTCGTACCGAGTAGTTTTGATCATAACTTTTTTGAGGTTAGATTTTTCAATTAAAATTCGACGTGACCTTAAACATCATTCAATTTCACACCAAAAAGGTACTCCTGGTAAAACTCGATACTGTGTTCCGTTTTCGGAATATTTCGATTTGAAAATGATGAAGTGGTAACTGTTGCTAATATAAAGCTATGTATTATAGTGAGTATTATGAAAAATTATCACCTATTTACTGAAAACTGAAAACAATAATACTTTTCTGATGCAAAACTCATTGATTTAACAATGAATCACAAGAATAACATCGAAACAGATTTGACTAAGAACATGGATTTCACAGTTTTGTTGTATCTTGATCAGAAAGTCTATGCTACATAGGTAAATTCACGTCAAGAGTTGTGAGACATAATTGAACATCACTTAAATGACCTAAAAGCTGATCCTCAACTGTTCAGAAGAATAATACATTCTTAAAAAAAGAATATAGGATCATGTCTGAACACTTACTCTAACTGATTCAATATTTCATGTTTCTAGTCAAATATCTCTTAATTTTCTACTTATGATTCTTTGTTCCATCAATAACTTCAGCACAAGAATAATTTTATTGTTTTTGAATCTGAATAAATAGGTAATTGAACTCAATAAAATTCATTTTATACCAGCATCATTACTACTCAATTATTTTCAAATCGAAATATTCCGAAAACGGAACATAGTATTGAGTTTCACCAGGAGTACATTTTTGGTGTGAAATTAAATGATGTTCAAGTTCATATCATATTTGGATTGAAAAATCTAACCTAAAAAAGTTATGTTCAAAACTACTCGGTACGAACCGTATAACTAGCGCCCTCTATGAGAGTCAGATATTAAAACAAATTCATGGGATGTGTCAGATTTCAAGAAACATCCATACAAAATTTCATTACAAGGTTGCCAGTAGTTTTGGAATAATCGTGAAAAATGTGTAAAAAAATAATTTTTTCAACACCTTGTATCATGAAAACGGATGCCGTTACGACATTTTTCCACAGAACAAACCCAACTTATTTTGCAATGTTCTACCTACCCTAGCAAGGGGGTTAGGTTTTTTTGAAACACCCTGTATATTCATGCACCACGACTGATTTTTTTTTATTTCGGCAATGACGGCTAAATATCTAGACTGTCCGACGGATTATACAGCTAGGTTATACTTTAATCCCTCAGTTCAGTGATCATAGTTAGTCTGTGGTTCAGTGATCATTGTTCAGTGTATACTCCACCAGAGGGGATATTTAGCGGTCATTCATTTCGGAATGAAAAATCAGCAGATTCAGTACTGTCATTTGAATTCGGAATATAGCCACTCATGCCATAGACCTATGCCAATCCATGCTCCTTGGGTTCTAATTGTTCCGAGCGTTCTGAGGTGTGCGGTGTCCTTTTCTAAAAGGTTCTGGAAAACTCGAATCTCGAATATTTCATAATCCCATTCCCGGCCGAATTTTGTGAACCGTGAACTTTCTGTCGGTGTGTCGGTGTTCTCGAGATTCATATTTTTTCATAAAAGTAAGTAGATTGTAGTTAAAATTCTTCCAAGATAAGTGTATACTAAACTGATCTTTTTGTATATTCAATTTTTAGTTCAATTTGCCAGTAATATATTCTGACATTGCTGTAAATGATTGCCACACAAGACTGCCATGTGCTTTTCATACATTTTGATTCTTCTCTGTTCACGATAACCTTTTCGCCCGTTGGATAAGACATTCATTTTGATTCGAATTCTAATTCCATTTCTGCATTGTCTACTATAGGTAGACCTATTACTAGAGTTGGCAAAAAGAATGTTGCAGGTGACATTTTTCTTAACACCTGACACCATTGAACAAATCTAGTTATCAGGGGAGATAAAAATATCGTGTGTCAAATTAATGAGAAACAAGATCCAAAAGAATTAGATTTTTAGAAGTGTGCTGAACATTTTGTGATTACATACCAATACCAATAATTCAATTATTTCAGATGTACCGCCTACCAAATGCTGTTCGCTCTGTAGCCCTTCGCAAAACTCAACAAATCAATGAAATTCAGCGTTGGTATGCCAAAGATGTCAGGTTTGGATCCGAAGTTAGAGCTCTCATGCTTCAAGGGGTTGATATCCTTGCTGATGCTGTGGCTGTAACTATGGGTCCAAAGGTTAGTCCTTTCTGATATGAAATATTAACTTCTTTTCAATTCATTATATAATTCATAGGGACGTAATGTCATCATTGAACAATCATGGGGCTCACCAAAAATTACCAAAGATGGTGTAACTGTAGCTAAAGGAGTTGAACTCAAAGATAAGTTCCAGAATATTGGTGCTAGATTGGTACAAGATGTAGCTAACAATACAAATGAAGAAGCAGGAGATGGAACTACTACAGCTACAGTTCTAGCTCGTTCAATAGCTAAAGAAGGTTTTGATAACCTTGGCAAAGGAGCTAACCCTGTTGAAATCAGGAAAGGTAAATCTTTCAGTGAAGCATCCTAATGTTCCATTTATTGAAACTTGATATCAAATACTGTAAATTTACTGGTCACATCTCACCATTTTACAAATCATATTATTTACAGGGTGTTCTCAGACCTGTAGACAGGTAAATTGGTCATGAACAAATCATATTTTTGTGCAAAAACAATTTGATAGCTAGAACTAGAGCATCTCTATAGTATTCACATTTTACAATATATTTCAAAAAATAAATGTCAGAAAAATGACTAGGAGAAATGAACATCATCATAAATTAATTTCAGTGTTCAACCCCTAAGTTTTATATTTTCATCAGTGAAATTATAATATCATTGATTTTTTACTCCAGCGGGAGTAGAAGTTAGTTTCTCTGGTAACAAAAGAGGGGCAGGAATCTGTATTATTCCCTAGGGATATAATGTGACATATTTTCTCCCTAAGGAGACTTTTACATTTTCCGCATAGCTCTGTCCTTTCTTTTCAGAACACCCTTCTCTGAATCAAGTATAAGCTGCATCATACAGATTCCTAGATCTCACTGGTAGCAAGTTAAGAATCAATAGAAGCAGTATCAATAGTTTTTTGGGGTTTTCCCTCAATTTTTATTCCATAACCCTTAACCTTTTTCAAAGTGGTTTCCATTAATTTCAGTTTGATATTTGCTGTCACTATGGGATGTCAACAAGATGCATGTTGTCAAGATACAAATTCCACAAACTATACCAAATTTTCATTCTTTCTTCTTTTTTGTGTTTTTTCGCCAGCATAAAATAGTTATTTTTGTATCGAGGGGAAATTCGCTGAGGAATTTTGGTGTACACTTGTGTGGAATTACGAGGAATTACAGTGGAATTGCATGGCATTGCGAGGAATTACGAAGCATTACGAGGCATTGCGAGGAATTGCGTGGCATTACGAGGAATTGTGTGGCATTACGAGGAATTGCGTGGCATTGCAAGGAATTATGATGCATTATAGTATGAATTGCGCATGCGTTAATATCTCGATTACGTCATCGCTCGCCACGTGTTCCAAGTTGTGCTAACGGAAAACGTGAAATCCTCATATACGTATTAATAAACAATACGGATCATAACGGGTGCCAGGATGAAGCCAAAAATATGAAACAAATGAATATCCATAAGGATTTGGTGGCATGATACGCATGCGCCATGCGCTATTATATTAGTCATCAAAGACATGCGTTTCGGTGGACAATGACGTTTACTAGCCTTTCAATCAAAGCAGTATGTGTCTGATCGTTTCAAAACTTTTCCTTATGGATAGTCATTTGTCTTCAAAAATCGGCTTCATGTTTCGCTATGGAAACAGATAGAGATTATCCGTATTGATTATTAATACGTATATGGAAATCCTTCAGTAGACTGTTAGCTAGGTTAGGAAAAAGACATCACGATATTACACATACGCTGTTCTGGTATCAGATGTGCTCTGAAATAAACAAGGCAAGTGACTAATAAACGTTATTTACTCGGTTATTTATTTTGGTTGTTCTTATTTTGGGTGTTATTGTAGAAGTTTTATCATAAAGAGTTAATTAGTCCTTCAGTTAATTAGGTTGGTATTTACTAGATATACAGGGTATCCGGAGATAACGACAAAACTCGTGGGGTTATATAGGAACTGCCAATATGATTGCAAAATGCCATGTATACAAATAATGTCCAAAACCGCTTCGTTACTGACATACAGCGTGATTTGTTAGTTTGGACAACAAATTAAATCCTCCATATTAAATGCCGATTTGGGTTAAATTTGGTATTTTAATTAAACTGAAAGGCCTTAACAAGTAGCCGTTTGAAGAAACCAATATCAGGACCGGAGTATTATCTTTTTATCATGTTGAGTTACTTACCCTGTATAATAATTATCAAAAATCTGATCTCAGATTCAAATTCTACATAAAAATACTAATTTATTAGCGTTTATTAGTAAGCAAATATAATCCACAAACGATTCAGTCAATTCCTTTTTGAAAAAGTTCCTTTTAGTTTTTTTTTAGTATAGATTTCAAATCTTTGAGTTTGTTCTCTTAATTATATTGATGATTGTTTTACTAGGTCAATTATTCTTACAAGAACTGAACATAATAAAGATTCATTCCGGCCTTGATACGAATTTTGTATCAAGTTTTTTTTGGTAAGTACTTCATCAGACAATTAAATTCTTCCAGTGAAGAAATTGAAAATACCTAATTTATTACGGAATAACTGAAATGGTACCAGAAACTTTTTCAACAAGTTCCTGTAGGATTTTTCCCGTAAATTTTCAATCTG